CTGAATGATTTTCACAAGTTAATGCAGAGGTGACTACAAAGAATAAATTTGGGGCATTAGAAGGGGCAGATGCTAAGCAAGATACGTTTACACCAAATGCAGAGGAGGGTAATACAGCAGTACAACAGAAACCAGTAACACAACAGGAAGAAAATAGAAGAGAAAGTGAGACAGGGTCCTCTAATTTTCACATAACAGTGAACAAGACTGGATTGGAGCAGATTGATTGCTCAAAAAAATTGATTGTGAAAGATACAGGCTACAAAGGGACATAACTGGAGACAATTAAGGAAAAGGAAAGGGGGAATGCACTGGAATTGGAGAAAGAAGATGAGTTAGCAGGGAGAGAAGCAGATAGTTTTAGTATACCTAAGATTGATAAGAAACAACCACAAGAGATACAGGAAAAGCTAAACACAGAAGAAGAAGAAAGCATGGATGCTAACATATATTGCATCAGTAGAGAGGGAGATCTATCTCCAAGACAAATAGGACATTTGAAGGGAAGATATGGGACTCACAAGAACAACAGTTTAGGCATATCGTATGTTAATACAAAGAGTAGAAAAGGCAAGGCCATACTTTTTGATCAATGATTAGTAAAATTCTATTTTGGAATATCAGATCAGTAAAATCTCAAAATTCTTTTGAGAGATTACTAGATCTAAATAGAAAACATCATTACTCATACATTGCTCTCTTAGAGCCTTTTCAGAGTCCTTCAGAAATAGATAGATACATGAGAAGACTTGGGAAACAACATGCCAAAGTTAATTGTTCTTCCAAAATATGGTTGTTTTGGGATGAGGAGTGGGAGGAGATGGATTGTATTGACTCAGTGCAGCAGATTACTGTCTCTTTCAAACATAGAATCAACAATGCTCATTTCAAGATTACAGCAGTTTATGCTAGATGTAGTGCCCTGGAGAGATTGGAATTGTGGGAAGACCTTGAAGAGGTGGCTAGCAATACTGATTGCCCTTGGATGGTAGGGGGAGATTTCAATACCATTACTGATGAGTCTGAAAAGTTGGGAGGATTACCTGTATCTCAAGTAGAAGTAGAGGACTTTGTACAATGCATAAGCTCTTGTGCATTAAATGAGATACAATTCTCTGGAAGTTGTTACACTTGGTGGAATGGCAGAATAGAGCAAGATTGCATATTTAAAAGACTGGACAGAGTCTTTGGGAATAATGCATTTATGGCTGAATTGCAGAATACAAAAGTACAACATCTGATCAGGGAGGGTTCAGATCATGCCCCATTACATGTTACTTGCAGTACAGGCCAGGAACAAGTATATAAGCCTTTTAGATTTCTCAACTTCTGGACAAAACATCATAGTTTCCAGAAAACAGTGGAGGATATATGGAAGATGGAAGCAACAGGATCACCATTCACAGTAGCACAAACCAAAATGAAAAGGGTCAAATTAGCTTTGGTACAATGGAGTAGAACAACCTTTGGAAATGTTTTTCAACAGGTGGCTACATTGGAGGATTTAATAAGGGCCAAAGAAGTTCAGTTAGAAATTAATGCATCAGAAGAAAACAGGACAGAATTGAAGAGAGTTGAGGCAGACCTAAAAAGATACATGCACATTGAGAAAGAGTATTGGAAGCAAAAAGCAGGAATGAGATGGTTTCAAGAGGGTGATAAAAACACTAAGTTTTTTCATGCATTTGTAAATGGGAGAAGGAGAAAGATGCATATATCAGTGATAAAGACCAGGCAAGGAGATACCATAACCACCACTCAAAATATTGGGGAAGAGGCTGTAAATGTGTTCAAAGACCAATTTAGGGAAACAAATGTGCCTACAGATTTTTCAATGCTAGACCATATACCTAAAATGATATCAGAAGAGCAGAATGAAGAAATGGGAAGATTACCAGCTGAAGAGGAGATCAAAGAAGTGGTATTTGCATTAAATGGAGATAGTGCAAGTGGACCAGATGGCTTCTCTGGACAGTTTTTCCAAAGTTGTTGGGATATTGTGAAAGTGGACATAGTCAACATGGTGAGAGCCTTTTTCTGTGGTCAGGAGCTTCCTAGGTTTATAACTCACACTAATTTAGTTCTTATTCCTAAAAAGGAGGTGGTGGATAGCTTTGGTGATTTGAGACCAATAAGTCTTAGTACTTTCATTAACAAGATCATTTCAAGACTGTTACATGATAGATTAGTAAAAGTGCTACCTACTATTATATCCCAGAACCAAGCAGGTTTTGTGAAAGGGAAAAGTATCACTGAGAATGTGCTTCTAGCTCAAGAGATCATTAGGGATATAAATAGGAGAAACAAAAACCATAATGTGGTGGTGAAATTGGACATGGCTAAAGCATATGATAGAGTGTCATGGATCTTTCTCACAAAGGTGCTAAGGTGTTTTGGCTGTTCAGAAAGAATCATTGACATGGTGGTAAGACTGATATCACACAACTGGTACTCAGTGATTGTGAATGGACAGAGCTTTGGATTTTTTCAATCTTCAAGAGGACTAAAACAAGGGGATCCACTTTCTCCAGCTTTGTTTATCATAGCAGCAGAGGTCTTGGCCAGAAATCTCAATCATCTATTCAAGGATCAGCAGTATAAAGGTTTTGGACTACCAAAGTGGAGCCCTGAGATTAATCATTTGAGTTATGCTGATGATACTATATTGTTCTGTTCAGGACAGTCATACTCAATGAAAAAAGTGATGAATGTGTTGAGAGAATATGAACAAGTGTCAGGTCAGATGATAAACCTTGACAAGAGTTTTGTATATCTGCATGAAAAAGTGTCATTTTGTGTATGCAGGAAAATTAAAAGAATAACAGGGATTAAGCAATGATCTTTTCCTTTCACTTATCTAGGATGCCCTATTTTCTATGGAAGGAAGAACAGAGCACACTTTGAAAGTTTGATAAAAAATGTGATGAAGAGAATAAGTTCCTGGCAGAACAAGTTACTCTCTTTTGAAGGAAGATATGTCCTAATAGCCAATGTACTTCAATCATTGCCAATTTATGTACTTTCTGCCATGAATCCACCAGCTTGTGTCATTACCCAACTGCATATAATTTTTGCTAAGTTCTTTTGGGCTAACACTGTTGGGGCCAAGAACAAGCATTGGGTGGGCTGGGACAAAATGTGTTATCCAAGAGGGGAAAGAGGAATGGGATGGAGATCACTACATGATATTTCCAAAGCACTGTTTGCCAAGCTCTGGTGGAATTTCAGAACTTCCACAAACACCCTATGGGCATCATTTATGTGGAACAAATACTGTAAGAAGCATCACCCTATTATTGCTCAGGGGTATGGGAGCTCTCATGTTTGGAGAAGGATGATATCAATAAGGGAGGAAGTAGAGCATGAAATTTGGTGGCAAATTAAGGCAGGTAATTCAAGTTTCTAGTTTGATAATTGGACTAAACAAGGAGCATTGTACCATATAGAAGAAAATGCAAAGGAAGAGGAGGTAGAAGTTAAGGAGTTTTGTACAAGAGAGGGATGGGATAAGGAGAAGTTGCTTCAGAATCTGTCTCTAGAGATGACTGATCATATTATGGAGAACATCTCACCTCCAAACACTTTGTTTGGAAATGATGTGGTCTGGTGGATGGCCAATGCACAAGGAATATTCACAGTAAAGTCAGCTTGGCAGATTTTGAGAAACAAACAGGAAGTAAGAAGGGACTGTGAGCTAATCTGGAATAAGGAATTGCCTTTTAAGATTAATTTTTTCATGTGGAGAGTATGGAAAAGGAGGATTGCCACTGATGACAATCTTAAGAAAATGAGAATCAATATTGTTTCTAGATGTTGGTGCTATGACAGAAAAGAAGAGGAAACAATGACACATTTATTCCTAACAGCCCCTATAGCCTGCAAGCTATGGAGGTACTTTGCTCATTTTGCAGGAATCAACATTGATGGAATGCATCTTCAACAACTCATAATATCTTGGTGGAAACATGAGGCAACACCAAAATTGCAAGGCATATACAAAGCAATACCAGCCATCATCATGTGGACTTTATGGAAGAGAAGAAATGCCTTCAAACATGGCAGTAGCATCAGCTGGGAAAGAATGGTGGAAATGGTAATTGAAGTGGTAAGGCAGATGGTGAAGAGTCAATTTCCATGGATTAAGAATATGAGATGGACATGGCAAGCCATAATTCAAAGGCTCAATCAATATAAGCCAAAGATACATGTCTTAAGGGTCACTTGGAAACCTCCTGATGATCATTATGTAAAGTGTAACACTGATGGAGCATGCAGAGGTAACCCTGGTTTGAGCTCTTTTGGGTTTTGTATTAGAGATGATAAGGGGGATCTAATCTATGCTAAAGCTAAAGGTATTGGTATTGCAACAAATATGGAAGCAGAAACTGTTGCCATTTTAACAGCTCTTAAAGAGTGTTCTAACAGAAGAATGCAGAAGGTGATTATTGAGACAGATTCACTCAGTCTCAAGAAAATCATTCAGCAGACTTGGAGGGTTCCATGGGAAATAGCAGAAAAAGTAGAAGAAATCAGAGAGATAATGGAAAAGATTAAAGCAAAGATCACACACATATTTAGAGAGGGTAATAGTTTGGCAGATTCATTAGCTAATATAGCTATAGAATCACAAGCAGAACATCAATATAGTAGTTTCCAGGAACTACCATTGAAGGAAAGAAGGATATTAAACACAGACAAAGCACAAATTCCTACACTCAGAATCAGAACACGCGCAATCATCCCTCAATGTGATCATGTCAGACCAGAAATCACACAAGTTTAACATCAGTCAAGACCAAGTTGTAACAAAGGCTGTGAAGGGCCAGGAACATCAACTATTCACAAATGGTCTTGAAAGTAACAATAAGATCACCACACAGTATTTGACAAACTTGAGGAAGCATATCATAGCAGTTTATTACACAGCTGGATACATAAAGCTAGATAGATTCGCAGGTTTCAGGTATACACATAAATGAAGGGGAAACAGGGCTATGTAGATCGAGAAAGAGTAAACTCAGCTAAAAGGCTTCAATCACAGCGGAATACAGTGCAAATCAGATTCGTAAGTTGGTCCTTCTTCGGAGATATGGAGCTAAGTCAAGCTGGAAAGAAAAGGAAAAGTCAGAAAGTGGATAAATCAGGGAAAGAAGCAAAATGGAAGAGAGAATTACCAGGGCAGATCGGGCTTCATCATGGAGAAAAATGGAGGAAGAACATCAATATTCTGATGGGTAGCATCAATGTAGAAAGAGATCTTTCATGTGGGTACTTTCCAAAAATAAACATATATCCTATCTGTAAGGGAATTGATATTAGTTGGATCGGGTCTTTTAGACCCATCCAAGTATTTGCTTTGTTTTGTTTGGGCCATGGGCCTTGTATAAACTTGGTTTTGATTATTAAATAAAAGGCTGAATAAGCCACCAAAAAATTAAAAAAAAAAAAAAAAAAAAAAGGAAGGTTTGACCAAATAATATAAATATAAAACAAATGAACAAAAGTAATACATATTCTTAAAAAGTAACCAAAATAGTATAAATGCTACCATGAGTAACGTTTTATCTATTATTTTATTCATAAAAATTAACGGATAGAAAACAGGGAAACCAACTACCGTTAGCATAAATCGTTATTGTTGATAACATAATATGAAAAACTACATTTTTGAAAAAGAGATTGCAGTTGTACTTGTAATATTTAATTCACAATATTTTTTAAATAGTGTTAATTAAATATTTTAAAATTTTTATTTAAAATAAATTATATATATATATATATATATATATATATATATTTGTGTGGTAATAAATCATTTCAATACTTGTAAAAATAAATATTTGATAAATGTTTTATTAATATTGATAAATTTTAAGTGGCGTTGATTAAATAATTTAAATTTTTTAATCCAAAATATCTCTATATTTATGAATTAAGATAAAGGTGAAAACAAACAACTAACTATACCTTGATTTATTTTTTAAATGACAATTATTTTGAACCAATTATTTTTCACAAAAACGACAAGTAAAGTGGTTGGAATAACAGACAGTGTAATTAATTTTTTATTTACACTCTTTTAAACATAGAGAAACTGGTAATATTTTCACAATCCTAACATATGCCAACAAGCATAAACATCGAAGAAATGACATTATTCATATCCATGCTAAAAGTAAACGAATAAAGAAAAAGGTTAAATTTAATTAAAAAGAAAAACTTAGAATGCAAGCAACTGACATAAGTTGAAGCAAATTCGTTACTGCTATTAACGTTTTATGTTAACGTTCGTTCTTTTTTCACTTTTTGTCCGTTAATTGTTTATGAATAAAATAATAGGTAAAACGTTACAAGTGATAGCGTTTATACTATTTTGGTTATTTCTTTAAAATGTGTATTACTTTTGTTCATCTGTTTTATATTTATATTACTTTGGTCAAAACTTCCACATTTTCAAAGTACGGTTGACCCATCTGATGTACTTCTTCATATACCTTTTCCGCAGCTTGGGATTTAATGCTACTTCGTTTAATTGTTTGGTAGCATTAAAATCAAGGCTATAAATATATGTCGACAAGGGTAACCATCTTTTGGAGAGGAAACGGGTGTCTGCTGCTTCCTTAACTGTCAGGAAAGACTGTATATGTACAAGAATTTCGTCAGGTTACTTACTAATGTGATCCTCTGCAGAGCACTAGAAAATACAAGAAAAAGAATTCAAAATCTTTATAAAATAAAACAAACAATCATGAATAATAACGAGTATTAATAATCATGAATCAAATTGAATTAGTAAGTAATTCTCATCTTATACGTTTTCACCATATAATTTTATTAAAAATAATTGAAATTTATGGAGGGCAGATACCTGGGGTTCACTATACAGGAGAGCCGATAGCAAGAATACCTGGGGCAAGAATAAGCAAGAAGCCAACAACTGAAATAAAAACTTATGCGTGTATATATATATATATATATATATATATATATATAAAAGAAAACCCTGTGAAGGGTTGGTGCCTCTAGGGCATCTCCAACCCTACCTGTATTTTATTATTTATTCTTCAAATATAGAGTTTTTTATTTTTCAGATAACCAATTTCAACCCAATTTTTATTTTAATCTCTGAAGGAATTTTTTTCTCTCTTCTCAATATTATATTATATTTCTATATCATTTTTATTTTCTTATTTCATATTATAAACTATTTCTTCTTTTTGCAAATAATTACCCTATATCTATATAATCTTCTTGTAATATAAATTTTATTCTTTTCAAAATTTCATTAAATATAAAATTGTATTTTATTCTAAATTTCTAAATAAAATAAATTACAAAAAGCATTATATATAATACAGATTAACAAGCAATTCAAATAAAAGTGAAACCATTGATGAAATACAATTACTTAATAAATAATGCATTATCGTAAAATTTAATTTTAAATTTTACATAAATACTCGACTTTCAAGACTATTGTGTTGCTGCCATAATGCTCTATTAATACATTACGCAGTTCATAATGAGTAAATTTTTGTCCATAATTTTTTATGTGTAGCTAAAAATTGTTTAAATTAACAATTTCATCTTGTATCAAATTATTTTGTGTACTAATTTACTTCCCCTATTCCATTTTGGACTATTGCAAAAAGTATTTTCATGCTCATTAAATAGTGTAGTTTAATCATTTTTCACTATAACATAAAAGTAGATTGTTTGAATTATCATGTAAATTTTGTGTATTCTTCATAGTGAAAAATAATTATAATTTAAATTACATATTTAAAGTGACGATTTTTTTAAAAAAAAAAATTAGAAAAATTGTTAATTTGGGATGAAAGTAATATACTTATCAATAATATGTTTTTTTAAATGTTATATTACTTAGGAAATAATTCAACTATTAAAGACTTAATTAATAGTCTCATATAACAAAAATAAAATTAAAATAATTTGAAATTACATATTTAAAGTGGCGATTTTAAAAAAATAGAAAATTATTAATTCGGATAGAAATAGTAACTTGTCAATAATATGTTTTTAGATGTTATATTATATTAGAAAATCAATTACAAACAATAAAGACTTAATTAATGATACAATAGAAATAATATTAAAATAATCAAAAAGTGAAATATAGAGGTGAATAGTAGGTCTCCAAATTTGGAGAACTACTATTCACATCTCTATAAATGGAGAATAGAGAGTATTATTAAGGGGGTTGGAGAACTCATCCTCTATTTATCTCTCAAAATATAGAGAATAGAGAGTAAAATAGAGATGATCTTATGGGCTAGGCCCAACTACTTGCAAATGAAATATAGGAAAAACCTTTCTTATTGAAAAAATTACTTAAATACATATTTTATTTTAGGGATATTTTATCATAATTTTTAAAATTTTCTACCATTTAACAAAAAAATCAAAAGTCCTCTCTCGTTGATACATCCATATCCCCCCTTTTAGATGCATACCTCTCCTATGTATCCGGATATCCTATCCTTTCTTTGATACATATTTATTCTCTCTCAGAAACATCACTCCCATGTGTATATGGATGTCTGTTGATATATCTGTAAGTCTAGCAATGTATCCTAAATTCATAGATTTTAAGAAATTTTTGTAATTTAGAAAAGAGTTGAAAAATAATGTAATTATCTCTCAATACTACATTACTATGAGATTAATTTAAATTATACTTTTTTATTTATGTTTTCCTTAAATTTTTGGTGACTTCTTAATTAATCTTTTTTTTAAAATTATTTATTATCTAAATTTTAAAATAGAGATCAATATGTACCAACATTCATATCAGAAAAGCAAACGGGCCTTCTTGAAATTTATGTTTCATTATGGTAAACTCTTATCTATTGTTAGTTCTTATTATTTTGATGGTGATTTTAAAATTGTCATTTTCAAACTCCATGTCATCACAATAAATATCGTCGAAAACACCTTATTAGATATGATAGTTCATTGAGTTGTCCATCATTTTTTTTTATCCAATTATGCCAAAATCAATCAACATGAGATATTAAATTAAATAAGAAATAATATAATTATACTCTGAGCCACACTCAACATCAAATCTTTCATCATCAAGTCTAAAATCAATCATTGAAAAGTTTTGAAACTCAAATTTTAACATTCGACATGCCGCAAACATGAATCATTTTGAATAATTAATTTATCAAAAGTAGTGATGTACACAACCGAATCGAAAATCGAACCAAACCGCAAATCGAGTCAAACCGAAAAAAACTCGACTAGTGGTTTGGTTTGACTTAGTTTGGTATTGGAAAAAAAAACCCGACTATATTTGGGTTGGTTTGGTTTTAACTAAAAAAAACCAACCCGAGACCAAACCAACCCGACATTATATATGTAATTTTAAAATTTTATTTTATACATAAAAATATTTACTTTGATATAATTTTAAAATATTTCTTATACTATTTCATAGTTTTTATCTTTTAATATATTATTTCAAGTTTAAAACTTAAAATTCAGAATGGTCCAATAAAGATTATAGTTCATAGATGTTGATAATTATAATAAAACTTAAATCAAAATCAAATTAATACTAATGCAAAAAGAAAATCAATTCAACATTGGTTTAGACAATTAAAATACATTGGTTTAGACAATTAAATACATAATCTAATTTTAATTTTCCTTAAATATTTAGTAATGTAACTAATACTTATTAAACTTATTTTAGCATGATTAGTACTTTTAAATTATGATCATTTTCATTATGACTTTGCAATATTTACTTTATATGATGATTTCATTATTATGTTTTATTGAATATTTTAGTGTCATCCGTACTCATCTCATATTTTGTGTTATTTTCTTAAGAAGCACCTTAGATAATTGTATTTTGATTGGACTAAAGAAATATTTAGAGCACAAGTTAATTATATGTTTGTATGCAAACTTTACCCAAAAAATCCAAAAATCTGGAAAAAAAATCCGAGGTTTATTAGTTTGGTTTGATTTATAAATTTAAAAATTCGACACAATGGTTTGGTTTGGTATTTGAAAAATTCGAACCAACCCGAGGTTGAAAAACCTAAAAAAATCCGAATTTTATTAGTTTGGTTTGGTTTATAAATTAGTTTTTTTTACACAAGTGGTTTGATTTGATATTTGAAAAAACTCGAACCAACCCGGTCATCTACACCCCTAATCAAAAGAATTGAAACATCAAGAGAAGCTCATATCTAAAATATGAGTTATTTAAAGGATA